GCACCCCAATTTTGGATAGATGTGCTTCATTCTCATCATTTGAGGAGGAAGACCCACACTCTGCATCGAGAGTACATTCTTTATTTCTTTGCAACTCTTCCATTTTGAATTTTATTTGCATTAATCCATGATGCCCATGAATGGCCACATATTCCTCATACGTTTTACCTCCAAGTAACCTTTTTATATATTCATCAAGCATTTGTCCTTGTTTCTTCTCATTTGCCAAATGTTCATTCACTTCATCAAATTCTTTGTTAAAATCTTGGAGTTTGGGTTCATGATTAGAGTTGATAGCCCTGTTGATGAAATCATTTGGTTGTTGGTCGACTTGATTTGGGTTGAGAAATTTGTTTACAACAGATTGAACGTTGGGGCTACCAAAAGAGAGAGGCTTTCCACTAATGGAGAAAAGAATGATTGCAATCTGTATACGACACAGTGTGGCTAGCTCATTGACTTTTTTGAATATGCCATTGCGCCGTTTAGACAAGGTRACCGCTCTTTCCTTGTCATTTTCAATTCTTTTCAGTTGTATCTTCTTACGACCCTTGCTTGGTAATCTTGCCATACTGTCAAAATTTAGAGATTGTGAGGAAGTATGAGAATGGTTGTGAAGGGTTTGATATATGAATGGTATTTATAGAATACCGCGGCCAAGGCTCCAGAATTGATTTCGATTGGTGGTTGACCCTTTTTCCAACTAAAGTAGATATTTTAGTACATATATAATGGATTAATATTTAAGTTTTTTCCAATATTAATTTTTAGATATTCACAATTAATACATACGTGCATTAGTTGTAAAAGGATAGAGTCATCTTTRATATGAGGTTGACCATAAGAAAAACAAATGTGGAATAAACTTAGTATACATGTTCTATTATTCACTCCTATGAAAAATTTAGCCTTTTCACATTTACCTTCAAAGTGTATATTAGAGTATTTACTCCATATGAAATTGTAACTACAAATGCCAAATGCTTCACATATACTATGGAGATGGTAAAAAATTAACAATTATTACTATAAATGTATACATACTCTTCAATATTAATTAGGCCTCATAAATATCATTTATTATTCAATACGCG